CTCCCAGAATTCCCCAGCCAGCATGGGGAATTCTGGGAGTTGAAGTCCATACATCTTAAAGTTGCCAAGATTGAGAAACACTGGGCTAGATTATGAAGTGGAAAAATTTCCCCAAAGGAGGCAGTGGTAAACCACTTCCCCAGTGCTGCCAGGAAAATTATGTGGATTTGGTCACATAATCAAATCACTGGGAGTTATGGATTTTCTATTTCTAGATCATCAATCTCAAGAATAATCTGAAAGGTGGACTTTGCTGCCGTTCCTTCAGGAGAGGCCAATCTGGGTTTGCAAGAGGTATTTCTTTGCCTGAATTGCTTTACACAACATGCTGTCACAGTGAGTGTACAAAGTGGGAGGAGATAGGGAGTGGCCATCTGCTGACATGTTATGGCTGCATGGGCTATTCAGAACTTACCCTATGCTTGGGCCAAAAGGAGTTCCTTTAGTATATCTTCTCGTTAACAAAACACACCACGCTTGGAGGGATGGAGAGGCAAAACTGGGGGATGGGAGTATCCCAGAATACAAAAGTGTCCTCACCAAGGTGTCCTTTACTTTACAGAAAAAAATGTGTAGGGACACAGTTGTTTTCCTCCATGAGCAGAAATGAAGCTAGGTGCTCCTCCTCTGTTGGGAAAGAGATTAACATCCTCTTCTTCCACCAACCTGATCCTCTCATCCAAATCCAAGCCCTGCTAGGGCGCTTTTCATTTTCCCAAACAAGAGGGTTGTATCCTTAAGACTACTGCTGTTTCCAGCATCCTTATAAAGGAAGAAAAACTCTTGCACCCAATGTCACTGTGGTATAGAGATTTGAAGAGAGTTCTGTATACTTCTGAATCTCTCTTCTCTCTCTAGCTTGCATCATAAGTGGTTACTACAGATGCTTCTTCTGCAATAAATGGGATACTGGTGCCTCTCTGGATGTTGCTAAATGACAATTCTCCATAGGATTGATAGGGCAGCTGAGGCTGTTGTGAGGATTGACATCTTTTTACCCACTTTACAGAGTCTGCAGGAGAATGTGTGAAGCTTCTTACCAAAATGGGGAAACCCCAAAACCCAGTGCCTGTCCTGACATATCAATTGTGACAAGAAGGAATTCTGACTTTACTGCAGAGTAGGAATTTCTGCATGCTCGATTCTTTTCATGGATGGCATTTGAATGTTTTTTCTTCCCCAAACAGACTGAGATGATGTGCTAAAACTGTAACTCCCCAAATTTGAAGGCATTTCTGCTCACTGGGGGGGATCAGAAGGTATGGACTGAAACGTCCTTGGGTACGCTCTAGCCCAATGGGAACTGGGAGGAATCTTCCTCAACCGTAGACTGTGCTGTCTAAATCAGATTAACGCTAAGGTGTCAGATTAGCCTTGCTGAGTTTGGTGTTCTCCAAATGGGTTGAATGATGTCTCCCGGAAGTCACAGTTAGCATGTGTTTGTGGCTGTAAGATGAGGTTTGATACCTCTGGAGGACACTAAGTTGGGGAAGGTAGCCTCAAAACCTCATGTGGGAAAAGCATGCCGTTTTTTTTTTTTTGAGTGGATGATTTGTTGGGCTTTTCATGTCAAATTACAGGAGACATCATTGCAACAGATCCAGAATTCACTTAGTGTTGCTTCTCTTCTTTGGATAGGTAGTTGAGGCAAAAAGCAGGAAGAGGCATGCATGTGGGAACACCTCCAGCGTGGATCAGATATCTAGATGCTCATATACGGAGGAGGATTCAGGAAGAGAAATTGCCGAGGAATGACACGATCACTCCCGCTGAGCGAGTGGACGCAGAGCCACGGGGCTGTCGTGTCTGTCCTGAGCTTTTTCCAAGATCCCAGATGAGCCCATGAAAGGGACTGAGAGCAGCATCTGCAATCGTGTGATGCTGTTTGTGTCTGGTCCCTCGTTTAGCTCTAGTCCCAGCAGAATAATTGGAAAGACAGAGACACTGTTCATACAACACGCAGTTAATCCAGCCACTTGTTTGCATACTACACTGAACCATACACTAGCAAACTGCATTTTAGCCTAATGTGTGAACAGAGTCGTCATAACCACCAAGAATAGATGCTCTTACAACGTTTTTTCCCTATGGCCATTTCCATATTGGGGATTTATAGCATCTTTTGGTGTTACTACTTCATGGCCATAACACTATAATGGCTCTCTTTATTACTGATACCTCACCACAGCACTAAATGATGGGATAAATCACTATCTTGGAATTGCATAATGCTACACAATAAGGAAAAAGAGAATCAAACACCCTCGGGGTTTTATCACATTGGATTTCTTGTCCAAAGCAATATCTGGCTCATTTCATCATAACTGTGTGTTAACTTTAATATTGGATAGCATGAAGTGGAGAAGTTTAACATTTTATGAGAAAATATAATTACAGTCTAGTCAGTCATTATTCATTTATTGATTTAAAAGCAAAAACATGAAACAATTAAGTGGTTTGGGGAATAGAACAGTTAAATATTTGAACAAATATATCCAGGTTTTCCTACTTATTCTGACTGGCTTGTACACAGGCCAGAATGGGAGCTATCATGTAATATTGTTTGCTAATAAAATACTTATCTTAAAATAAAAGGTAAGCATTGGTTTCTCAGGTGTGCTTATGGGAGGGGGGAATCAAACATTTTTCTAAATGACAAATGATAGACACCTGTAAATAAAAAAGTGGTCCAGATCCTCCATGTTGCTAAAACCACAAAGGGAAACTTATAAATGGGAATCTCTGCCTTGGTGCATTGAATGTCTGCATCTGTGACCTCATCTTTCGACTATGCCAGACAAGTGGTAAGTAACCATATGATGCTGCCTTTTACCCAATTAGAATACTGGTAAAATTACTCTAATGTTAATCTACTTTGATGGCTCCCCAGGCAGGACTTCAGCTCGAGGCGATTATCTGGCCTTCTGTCTAAAATGTCTTTAACTGGAGACAGGGTAGAGCAAGTTTTGTGGATGAGAAATACACATGCTTTATTCTTGGCTACCACATTCCCCTAATAGGTATTCATATTAGTACCTCCAATCTTAATCACTTAGTCAAAGATTTAACGCCTGTTTTTATGGGTTAGAGTTAGGGTTAGGAACTCAGTTGAATTTTTGCCCAGGGTGTTATGACAACACAGTCATGGTGGGCCAGCCCTGCTGTTGGGCAAATAGTGACAGTAGCTGAGGAGGCAGATGCTGAGAATGGGATGAAGAATGGCAGCAGTTGGGCAGAACAGTGGGAACTGAGAAACAACATGTTGAAAGAGTCGTGACTTTGAAAAGTCAGTCTGCTGCCATCAGCTTTACTGGCTCTTCCATTAATGGTGGTTTCCATGTATACAATGGCTCAGATTGGATGAGTTAATGGAAGTTATGGAAAAGTGTATCCTGTACCATATGTCAGCTATCCAGCTGAAGCAAAAGGGATTCAAGATGGCTCTAATTTTTACTGTTTCTGGTTTGAGAATGAATAGCCAACTCCTCTGCATGTTTATTTGGAAGCAGTCATGCCCCACTAAGTTTACTAAGCATGCATAGAATTGTGGTATAAATGGGATTTGAATGGCAGCCATCAATAATGCAGTCAAGTGCCCAAGTTTTCTGTTAATTGTATCACATATACACAATTACTCATTTTAAAAATGTAAGGCTAAACCTGACATGTTTAAAAGGTGAGAACAACCCAACCTTATCCATACTAGGGTCTCAGATGGCAGTATTTATCTCTGTGAGCTAACTTTCCTGCTACACACCTGGGGTAGTTTTCACAGCTGCGATCTTCCCCACCTCACCCTAAAAAGGATGCAAACTATGGGCATGCAAAGAAGGATCAAATACCTATCATCTTCTGCCACTGCTGACAGTCAGTAGTTGGTCTGGGGTAAGCAGGAAATCTCAGATCATCTCTTGACTGTGGATGGTGTAGGGGAATTTCCTCCCCTTTTCCTGTTAGCTTCTGACAACCTAAAGAAAAGCAGAGTGTGATGAGAATGGAAAATCAGAATGAAGTTATCTGTGTACTCAGTGCTGAAAAAAATAAAATATGGCTGCTCAGAAAAAAACTGAAATTTGTGATCTATCTCTGTTTTTCAAATCAAAACACTGGTCTAGTGGTTAAGGCACCAGGCTAGAAAGCAGGAGATGGTGAGTTCTAGTCCCGCCTTAGGCATGAAAGACGGTTGGGTGACTTTGGGCTAGTCCCTCCCTCTCAGCCCAACTTGGTTCACAGGGTTGTTGCTATGGGGAAAATAGGAGGAGGAAAGAGTATTTGGCATGTTTGCTGCTTTGAGTTATTTATAAAAAGAATAAAGGCAGGATAAAAAAAAATCTAAACAATTCTTTGTTTCTGCTATTTATGAGGAAAAACTAGTACACAGAATTTTCCATAATTAGTGGAAAATTATTCTCATTGATTTTGTAATTCCCCAGTCCTGCGCCCCCCCATATTGCTCATAAACTTTAAACTTATCTGCGTTTCTAAGGATTAAATGTCCAAAAAGGAAGGAAAAGGAATTATTATGCTGAATTTACAGTTAAGAGTGCATGAATTTACATTTAAGAGTCTGTTCTCCAGACAGCAGCCTCAGTGCCAGAAGCGTAGTTTGGGGATGACCCTTACATTCTTTCCAAATGTTGCTGCTAATTTTTAATCTTTCACTCTCTCTCAGTCCTAGGAAGAAGGCGATGGCAAGCCATTTCTGAAATCTTGCAAAGAAAACTGCAGGGACTTGTCCAGGCAGTTGCCAGAAGTCAACACTGGCTTGAAGCAGTGTTGCAGCAGAGAGAGAGAGAGAGAGAAATTATTAAATACATAAGCAATCCTATCTAATCAAATGTAGGCTCAGTTTTAGGCCTGCCTACTTTTAGGTGTGCATTCCTGGCACATTATTCAGTGGCCAAATGCATTCATCCACCAGAAACTTGCTGCTTTCACTTACTGTAATCATTCTAATTCTGCCTGCTCTGAAGAGCTGAATGCCAAGCAAGACTCAGGTATGGTGGCAAAAACCCTTTATCCATTATGGTGAATGTTGCATATGAAGTATCTGACCATACATAAAGAATATCCTTTCAGATGGCAAGGAACAGCTGATTATGTGGAGAAAATAAGATGATGGGCACCATATTTTCTCAGCCTTGTCTCCAAGGTGGAGAGGGAATTCTGGCTCAGGAACTAGTTACTGAAGCAATAATAACTATTCCTTAGCATCCTTACCTATGTAAGGCTAAGATTTAATTCATTAGGACACACATTTTGAAAGGTGTGCAAGAGAGGATAGTGTAAGCGTTTATTTTATACCTCTTGGGTTTGAAACTACACTTCTGGCACTGAGGCTGCTGTCTGGAGAACAGAGTAAGTAGAAAAGGAGAGAAGAGGGTTAGATCCCTTAGATCCAGAATTTCTCAGTTTTGCCTCTACAGTTGAAGAGTGTTTTTAGAGGGTGGTTTTAATCAAAAAGGAATCCTAAGGAAACAGCATAAGCTGCTCACTATACATGAAAATTAATTTTGCATATAAGGTTTAAAAAAGAAGTGACATGCAGCCAGGGCCATGTAAGAGACAAAGCAGAAAATAAGATGGCTGTTGAGATCAAAGAGGCTCATCAAGTATAATCTTCCTTCCCATGTGGGGCTGATAAGCTGTAACTGAGAAAGAAAATAAAAGTAATACGCATTTTCCTTCTTTTTCTGCTGGGGAAAAAATAGATGAAAAGTTATCCTAATAATCTCTTGCGTCTTCATTTGGCATCCTCTTTCAAGTATTCAGTGCAGTTTATGCTTTGTCTTGCTTTGCTGCCCAAATGTTGCTAAAGCCTTCCCTAAGACAGTACTAAAGTTTCCTTCAAACTGAACTCAGCTCCCGATAATTACATCAATACATCCATGCTTTTTTCTCAGGAACAAAATGGAAGTGGTTTGTCATTGTCTTCTGGAAAATATTTTGGATTTCCCAAGCCAGTCTTCTAATGGTCTGAATTCTGTTTGACCAAGCTGAGCTTTCTTTAAGATTACTCAAGGCCAGCTACAAGTCCCAGATCTCTCCCATAAATATGAAGGCTCTATTTTATGCACATGGGCTTTCCACAGCCTCTCTCCAGGACAATATTTGAAAGCAAACTTATCACATAATTGCTTAATGTACATTATGAGCTAGGCCAATAGCACTGTAGGAGGAAGATGGCCTTAAATTTTAGTTCCTGGTCAGCTGTGAAAATTATATTGCAGAAAAATACACAATCTTCAATTTTATCCACGTTACAAATTTAAAGTCAGGTGTAGTACAGGCAGTCCTTGTTTAGTAGCTGACTCATTTAGCAACTGTTCGCAGTTACAGCTGTGATGAAAAAGTAACTCTGCAACCAATCCTCACATTTACAACCTTTGCAGGTCTGTATAGCAAAGGAAAGCTGAAGTAAAATCATAAGGACAGTGGCAATTTCACTTAGCAACTGCTTTGCTTAATGATTGAGTTGCCGGTCCCAATTATGATCACTAAACAAGGACTACCTGTATATGCAAAAAAGAAAAAATTGTGAAAGGGAAAAAAATCACTTGGCAATAACCAGAATTATGTGTTTTACACTGTTAACAGCAGATAGAAGCTGTGGCCATGGAAGCCTTTGCTCAGCTGGGGCTGGTGCACCAGTTCTGACCTTATTTGGCCTGACAATGGTGACTCATGCTGTCCTGTATTTAGACTACTTTACATGAGACTGCCTTTAAAGACCAGCCAGAAGCTTCTGCTGGTGCAAATGCAGTGTTACAGGTGCTCACAGCTCAGCACATGTTATAACTATTTTGGGAGCCCTGCATTGGTTTCCTGTTAGCTTCTAAGGGCAATTTAAAGTGCTAGTATTAACCTATAAAGCCCTTTATGGCTTTGCATCAGGTTATCTTCAGGACTGCATCTCTCTGTTGGAATTTGCCCAACCACTTGATCATGATGAGAGAAGCAACTGGTTGTCCCCCAGAGGTGGTGTTTCTTGGTCATCAAACTGGCCCTCTGGAATGGCTTCCCATGAAAAGTGCATTTGGCCCCAACTCTAGTCATCTTCTGGAAGCTCCTGAAAACGGTGGTTTTCCAGAGGGTGTTTGGGGGCTGACACCAGATGCTGTGTGGAATGTATGTTTGTGCATTTTGACTGTAGGTTTTTGTATTTTTATTATCTATTGTTATTTATTGTTTTTCATGTAAGCCACTGAGAGTCAGCATATGACTATGATGGGATGTAACTGTAATATATAAATAAAAGTGAATGTGGTTCAGTACAATACATTGTCTTAGTGGATCCACGCTCTGCAAGCTGATGCTACTGTTGCTAAAAACACAGTGATAAAGAATATGGTTTTCTGGAATTACATTATTCATGTTCTAGATTTAGAGCATCCATACTAATGGTCTAGAATCTCAGCCTTCCCTGAGATGGTACGTTATTTAATTATATTCCACTTTTCTTCCAGCTCAAGACAACATACCAAGCGCTGCCTCCTGCATTTTTTCCCCACAGCAACCTGGGCAATGGTTTTTGAATTCCATTAAGGTGATCAGACAAAGGTGGTTGCTCATTCACTTATATGTTCTGATAACAGAAATAGCCATTTTTCAATAAAGGTGGATTAGGATTTATTTATTTACAAGAATTATATGGTCACCCATTGCTGGATGGCTTAGAGTTGAAAACAGCAACAATGACAAAAATAAATAAAATAACTATAGAAAACATCACAAAGGTATTCAGGTCTATGCAATTCAAAAATCTCCAAACATAGAAATCCAGTGCAAGCACAGCAGAGCTTTGGATATTAAATAAAAATATGAAATACACAAGAGAAAGCTTCCATTTGATTGTCCACATTCTGTATCTATTTCTTTTGGCCTGACAATATTTTACTTCTGCTTTTGATATCTTTCAAGTTTCCTCATGCTTATGCTACCCAATTAAAGGCAAAACCAGTTGCTTTTGAGTGAATCTTTGAAAAAGGCAAAATACAGCCCCAAAATCATGAACTGGGAGCGAGGGACATCTCTAGTGCTGAGTTGGAGATATTGCAGCTGCCTGACACTTACATGATCAAACTCTTACATGATCAAATAGACACATTTCCACCCCAGGAAGACTTGATGGCCAAAAATATGCACATGGAAACAGTACATGACTTGTTAGCGTGCTGAGTTGAATAGCAACTGAATAGCTTTTCTGTTTTTGACTAAAATGTAATTATGTTCAGATTAGAATACTAGTCCCTGCAAACTACAATGTCCTGAGATACCTCAAAGAGAGCAATTTTACTGTGGCATAAAGTTTTCAAGACTCAAGTCAGCAAAGCCCTAAAAGCCTGGGTGTGTTTTTATTTTATTTTTATATATATATATAAATAAAAATAAAAATTTTGATTATGTGCCATCAAGTCGTTTTCGAATGACGATCTATCCCTAACCTGTTCTTTCAAGTCTCATGCAGTATGTATTATACAGTATATGGGTTTTAGATACACGTTAGTCTAAGATGTAGCACGACTTAGTTTCAGAAGCCATTTGAATCTTCCAGGTAGAAACAGTAACAGACGTAAATCAGTACGAAAGCGCGTGTTGTTAATCTATTTAAAAATTATATGCAGAAGTAAACAGAGTTACCACAAGCCCACCGTCGAAGGAGAGACAGACGGCAAAACACGCACATGCTCTATATAGATTTTTTCTATGGTTTTTCTTTCCTAACGTCACTTCCGTCAAGCTCGTGCAGGAAATCCCCTCAGTTCCTGCCCTCACGAGGAGTGTTGTACAGTAGAGTGTTCCCCCCCCGGTCGGTCGCTATGGAGACAGCCGACAGCCGGCTGCGCGTGTCAGAGACCTTGGAGGCGTTCAACGCCGTTCTGAGGGGAGAGGCCGGAGACGGAGCTCGCGCCTCCGTTTGGTTCAAAGAGAGCAGCGCTCGGAATTTACGGAGCCGGGACTTCCTGGCCCCCAGGGCCGCTCTGAGAGCCATCTTCGCGGACGGACAGGTGGGGGCGTGGCTAAAATGGGCAGAGCATTGAGCTGAGAGGGGCTGGCTGACCGGGAGGAGAAATATGCTGGTTTCGGGGGAAATGGATTAATGGACGTGCGAATGAGTTACCTACCTGGATGGCAGCACCTGCCCGACCTTGCCGGATCGTCGAAAAGCTAAGCAGGGTCGACCTAAGTAGCTTGGATAGGAGACCATCAGGAAATCTGCTAGACTGGGAGTTGAAAGATCATCCATGAGGAAGACAGAAATAAACTACTTCTGATTTATTGTAAAGATAGCTACATGGACGAGGACTTGAGCTCGACTCAAGGAAAACTTTATTACAATGCAAACGACTAGTTCGTTCTTGCTTAGCCTTGAGATTTCCTTAAGACGTAGTGTATAAGCCCACCTCCACTAAACAAGTGGTGCCAGGCGATTTATGGTTAATCCAAGCCCGTGTTGCAGCAGATGCCGGAGGAAGAAAGCAATAAAAGAAAATGACTCCTTTTAACAGATTTGCAGTATTTTGGGGTGGATGGTGCTCAGTTTTATTAAATGCACCACAAACTATAGTTGGCAGAAATTATTGTTTTATTTATTTGTAACGTATATTGGTATCCATAGTGCCACACAGAATTGTCTTTATGAAAAAATGTTATTTGCTCTTAAGGAGTCTAAATTCTAAAATAGAGGGTGGAAGTACAACTCCAGGATTGATCGAATTGCAATAAAGAGGGAACATTGGCGAACAAATGTAGATAATGAAGCTTTGATACAGAGGGGAAGAATAAAAAGTATTTAAAAGTCATATAAAAAATTCAGAGGGGTATATATATAGTCAGGAAAAACATTTTATGGCATCTTAAAGACTAAGTATTTGTGTCTGTCATAAATATCTGTAAGTGGGTTAAATAGCAGCAGGCAATTAGAAAAATCTAAAGGAGGAGGTCTTTACAGTGTATACTGCCTCTTTGCCATCTTGCCTCCTCCCTGATATATGTAAGCATATGACGGTATCTGTATAGTATACAGTAATATAATAGTAGTAGGGTGGGGAAAACTACATTCAGAGGAAAGTAAAGACCAGTGTTGCAGACAAGTCAGCTTGTAAGCATGTTTAACTAGGTCAGCTTAAGACTGAGCAACTACATTAGCACAACATGTCATGTTTATTAAATTTTAACATTGATTTGATTTGTTCTGTTTTTGTCTCTTAGCATATTGTATAAACCCAGTGCATTTAATTAGTTTATGGGTCTGTGCACTGGGAAACCCCCCTGGGGATAGGTTAACTCAACTGTGTTAAGCTTGTTATGCAAACATAGTCCCAGTGATCATAGCCATTAGCTTTATGCCCTGTGATGGCAAAATGTAATTTATTGAGTAACTCATACATTCTTTTGCCTCCATTGTAAGCTTGACTTTAAACTGCATGCCTCACAGCAACAATTCTTGGCTTAATTTTAGGATTTCTCTGCTGATCTCCTGTTTTTTCTACCATCTACTCTGATAGATAGTTCCGGATAACATGAAAACTTGCCCTATTTTTGGATGCAATTTTTTGGGGTCTAATAACTCTTCTGAATCTAGAGAGCCTTAGTTGGCAGTAGCTTTCACACAGTGTTTATGTTCCCAAAACACTCTTAACCAGGTTGGTTATATATCTACTAATCTTCACTATGTGCTTAACCTAGTTATTAACTATTTTCTTGGCTCATATAGTACATCATAACCTAACCAAATGGGTTGCATTTCCATGACATGCTAAGCTTAGTTAGTGTTAACCTTGGCTAGGCTTTTATGGTTTAGCTAATACTGTCTGATTAAGTTATGGTTCAATGTATTGTGTGAATCCAGACAGTGGGTTAATTTGGTGATCAGGTTAAGCATATTGCGTGAAAATAGCCAATTTTACTGGAGTCCCAAAAATTTACAGAAGCTTTGAGAACATGGAAGGAATGAAGGGAGCCATACAATGAAAACAGAGAAAGAAATTCAGCTGTACCTCTTTTTGTATATATATAAATATGTATTTTATACACACACACACACACACACACACACTTTAATTGAAGATTTTAATTACAATAGTAAAAGTAAATGCAAACTAAACTCAGAGAAGGAGAAATAGAAAGAAAAAACAAAAAGTGCAAAGAAAAAAGAAAAAGATAAAAAGATAAAAAGAAAAAGAAGTAAGATAAAGAAAAAAAAGAAATATATAAAGAAGTGACTTCTGATCTTCATCACAAGTATAAACAAACTTAATAACTCTTTACCCCCTATAAGGTTACAAACTAATCTCTCTTCTTCCCATAACTCGTCCCTTATCTATATGTAAATCCATAAATCATCAATTTTTCAGTCCTGGTGTCAACAAAAAATCCATAAAGGGTTACCAGACTTTATAAAAACATATATTATTTTAACTTTGGTCAAACAAACCAACTTTATATTCCTTCCTTTTACTTCTGACAATGTTGATCTTTAATTCATTCAGATGTTGTAGGAATTGGTCTCTTCAGTTTTTCTTTTTTCCATCCCAAAGGCTTCTTTGAGGCTTTAGCAAACCTCTTTTGTAAATCCAATAAAAAGTCATTATCCAGATCATTCTTTTGGTTTATCATTTGCATTTCCATTTTGATTTTCAAAGTTTTAACCACCTCCTTTTGTATATCCAGTAGAAAGTCCTTATCTGGATTATTCTCTTGGCTTGTCATTTGCGTTTCCACTTTAGCTACCTTCTCTGTCTTGTAATCCACATTTTTTTATTATTATTATTATCCAGTATTTCTGGTTCTAATATTTCTGCATCAGGCAAAATTTGTTTCACATCTGTCATTCCTTCATTAACATCTTTTGGACATAGTCTGTCCATAGAAAGACATCATTGCTGACATTTCTGACATTGTAGCTACTAATTTCTGGCCTCATTCTTCAAAAATCTCCCGGAGTATTTCAAATGTTACATCATTTTGTGTAATGTTACAATATTTTGTGTAATTTTTAAATTCCCATACTAACCAAAAACCAAAGGCAAGTTTACACTTTTTTTTTTCTTTTCCTTTTCTGCCTGGAGTCTTTAATCCCCTTTAGTATCCAATTTCTGAAATCATAATGTCTCAAATCTCTGTTATGACTTAAAATAGAACAATTTGGTTCCCATGAAAAGCTGTTTATTTTATATAATTATTTCCAAAATATTATAGTAAAAGTCATAATATTCCAAATTTGTCTGGACCTTTAATTCATTTATAACTTTCTTAGATCAAAGTCTTATTTAGCTTTTTGCTTTTTATTTCCAATTCTTTAAATTCTTAAACTTATGGTTAATTTTTCTTTTGTTCAAGAATGA